ACTCTACTTAACTGCATTGATAGAGTCTCTTGTTCTTTCATTTGGGATTTGTTTCTTTGTTTCACCATTTTGGCTATTTCATTGGGTTTTGGAGCCTGCCAATTTTTTTCTGTGTCAGTTGGTGTTCTGCTCTTTGTGGCTCCCTTTACTGGGTTCGGATGGGCCGCATGGGTCCATGTTAAACATCACTGTAAAGTCTTACTTTCCTGGGTAGATTTGCAAGCCCAGGAATGGTTCAGTTATCCTCTAGCTTTTTCCTGGAGGCTAGTAGACTCAGTTACTCAGTGTCTTGGAACTGGTGTTCTGCATAACAGGACTTTCAGAGGGAAGGAGGGGATAGCTGCAGGTTGTGAATGAGCCTCAATTTGCATTTTTTGCCTCACCTGGAAAAGGCTGAATCTCTGAGGTGGAGAGAGCTGCTGCTTTTCCCCACAGCTCTGGGAAGAAGCACCCTGGCCACTGTCCTCTGTGGCTGCAACTCAGCAAAAACTCTGAGTGCCCTCCAAATCCCGGGTGTCTCTACAGAGTTCCAGCCCAATCTTCCCTCCCTCTTATGTTGCCCCAGGTGAGTGGCTGTTGCTATTTTAGCGCTCTGTCCTGGCTCTCTGCGCTGTGGAGTGGGCTTGGTCTTTATTCCCTGAGGGTGCTGCTCACAGCTAAGAGTGCTTGCTGCTGTCCGTGGGCTCCCAGCCCACCACCCTCCTGTGCCTCTGCAGATCCTACCAGTGTCCCTGGTTATATGGTCCTGTCCTGCTGCTTTTCTGTTGCTTTTTTCCGAAGATTTGCCTTTATTTTAGTTGTAATCCTGTTTGGTCCTGGGAGATCATCTGCTTAGATTCTATTCACTCAGCCTTCATTTTCAAGTCCCCTAAGTCTATCTTGTGTGCAGCTGGGTCGCACAGGCCTCTCTGGTGCCCCCGCACCCTGCAGGTACCATGGGTAACTGGATCACACAGTCCCTTTGGAGACCAGGCTCATTGCCTTTCTTATGGGCTGCTGGGTCGCACAGGCCTTTCTGGGGCTTCAGCACCCCACAAGTACTGCAGGTTACTGGATCGCACAGTTCCTGCTCTGTGGCAGAGGCCTCTCTGGTGTCCTTGCACTCTTCAGGTCCCAAGGGCAGGCAGCTGGACTGCACCAGTCCCTCTTGGGCTCCAGATTCCTGCGGCTCTTGTGGGCTGCTGAGTTATACAGGCCTTTTTGGTGCCCCAGCACCCTGTAGGACTCACAGGCAGCTGGATAGCACCAGTCCCTCTTGGGGCCTGGCTTCCCATTGCTCTTGTGAGCTGCTGGTCCACACAGGCCTCTGTGGAGCCCCAGGTCCCACTGCTGGCAGCTGGGGAGTGCTGCTGCCCCATGGGGCTCAATTCCTGCTCAGCTTTTGCTGTAGATTTTGGGCATGGGTCCCAGCTGCTGGTCTGTGCTTCTGTTGCCTGGGATGGATATCTGCTCCCCAGCCTCTGTTAGTGGGGGTATATCTCAACTCTGATCGGGCTGCTGCTGTGGGTGATGGTGCTGGGCTCCCAGCTGTCCATGGCTTTTGTGACTGGCACCTTGGCAGCTCCACTACTGTGCATGAGTCTGTGTTGACACAGGGTGTCCCCTGGTCCAATGGTGTCAAGTGCACTGTTGGGCTCAGGGTGCTGGGCCCTAGCCCCTCCCACTGCCTCCTCCCAGGGAAGACCCAGGATTTTCCAAATGGTGGGACCTCCCTGCAGCACCCGGAGAAGCGCCCTGAAGCGCTGCTTACCGCGGTAGCCGGCTGCTCCGTCCACAGCACAGAACCTTCTGCTCTCCATCTCTCCACTGCTCGGGTTTGGTTGTCCACCTTCACGTCCATTCACACTCTCTCACACACTCACCCTCCCTCAGGTCCTGCCTGCCACCATCTCTGTTCAGTATGTTATTATTAATTATCCACTCTTAATGCAATGTTTCTCTAATGAGCTCTATAATCATCAGTACTCTACATTTCAGATTTAAATTGTCCATAAGACGAAGATGATCTTTTCACTCTGTTTCTCCATGCTTGGCAGGGCGCAATCAGGGAAAGTCTAAGGAGCTGGGGGAGGTAAAAGAAGAGACCTCACCTGCAGAGGGGCCAGGTTTAGCTCTTTAGTCCAAGAAAGGACTTTAGCTCCTTCCTGCATGTGAAGTAAGATGCATTCCTTCTTCTTCAGTGCAGGGCTCTATGTGCACCCCTGGGTGGGTCCTGGAAAAAGAGAGGTTCATCCAGGAACCTGGTGCATGCTCTATGGCCTCGCAGCCACCTCTAATACAAAGGGAGACTCAGCTTCCCAGAGCAATGTACCCCAAGGACCGAGCACAAGAAGCCCCCTGTCCCCAGGGTGCTGGCAGCCTGTTGCCTTTAGCACCTGTCAGTGCCTACTTTGGGCAGGAGTTGTTGTAGTCAGTCAGTCTGTCAGCCAGCCAGTGAATGAGTTCATGGACTTGTGCATGGTAGACTAAGACTAGGATAGAATTTAGGTGGCGAGGGAGTTGCAGCCAGGGGACAAGTTATCAGCTGCTCTGGCTGGTCCCTTGCGTGCTGCTTCTGCCTCTGGCTCCTCCAGGTGCCAATTGTTATCTTTAGAAGCTGAAAATTGTGCCAGATTATTCAATATTATGAGAGGGGATGAGGAAAGCTGCACTTGAAAGGTCACAAACCTTTTTTGAGGCTTTAACGGTGGAGGTTTTCAACTGTTTTTTTACAGAAGTTGGTGAAATGAGTTTGTGGGATGGGGGTAAGGGGAGGAGGGGGGAGTGTGAAAGTCTGTCCAGTTCCTCCTCAAGGGCTTTGAAAACCCAGTTCCATCCCTTTCACAATTGGTAGGTTTCCTTGGCCCCACAGTGAATACAGAACAGCAGACGAGTGTGCGCAAAATAACGGTAGACTAAGGTATTTCAACATCCTGCTTCTCATGGGTACTTTGTCAAGAAAAAAATTTGTGGTTTTATGTTTATTTGAATTGGTTTATGGGTTTGTTTGTTTTTTGGTAAACACATGAGAGCATATTTTACAATGCATGGAACCCAATGTTGGACCCATTGTTATTGGATATTTAAAGATGACTAAGGTGAAGTTCTGAGTTTTGGAAAAATTATACCTTGAATAGGGCACATATTAGAAAAGAAAGCAAGAAGTGATCAATGCTAATGTTACGTTGTAAATGAAGTATTCGGGTTTCTTTAGAATCAACAATTAATTATATTTGGAAAGATTATAGATAGCTTCACAAGGAGGTACCATGTCTGCCAGATCTTGAAGGATGGCTCAGATTTCATCAAACAGAGATTGGAGAACATGTATTTTATGGGCCAAGCATGCTTCCGCTGTGCGACTCTGCTGAGAAAATGTATGTTAAAGCAAAGGAAGGAAATGAGCAAATTTACAATGGTAGTGAGTAAATGCTATGATTCAGCCAGGGTTCACTATAGCCAAGGTCTCACTGAGCATTAGGTTGAAAGACCAATTGCAACCTAAGTCATAGACTTTATTTCTGAAGCAGGTAGTCTTTGAAGATTGTTAGGCATGCTCAGAGCTGTGCTGGAGTTCCATCATTGGTGGCAGGAGAAGAGGTAGAATGCAGAGGGGATACTGGACAAAGCTTATTCAAGAAGCTATTGTTATAGATTAGAAGATAACTTTATAGTCCTTCCACTCTTGGCTTGAGTGGAAACATTGTCCCACAGGATTATTCAGAGATGCAGGTTCCTTGCATCCTATTGTTCGGTACCCAATATTCACCTGCAAAGTTTAAGCTTGCATCTCTGATCCAGGCAGAAGAAGGAAAAGAGTGATTCATAGAACACAGGTTCAGATTTTTCTGGCTGAGATCCACAAGTGACACACATATACTTCTGTTCACATTCCATAGTAAACTTATTTGCATGCCTATACCAAGATGCAAGTGTAGCTAGAAAAATATAATCTCTTTCTGGGTTTCATGAGCAGACTGGTGCAGCCACTATGGAAAACAATATGGTGCTACCTCAAAAAATTAAAAGTTGAACTTCCATTTGACCCAGTGATCCCACTGCTGGGAATATACCCTAAGAAGCCTGAAACACCAATCAGGAAGAATATATGTACCCCCATGTTCATAGCAGCACTCTTTACAATAGCTAAGATCTGGAAACAGCCCAAGTGTCCACCAGTAGACGAATGGATAAAAAGCTGTGGTACATATACACAATGGAGTACTATGCAGCGGTAAGAAAGAAAGATGTCTTATCCTTTGAGACGACATGGAGGGACCTGGAAAGTATTATCCTAAGTGAAAGAAGCCAAGCAGAAAAAGACAAATACCACATGATCTCACTTATATACGGATTATAATGAACATAACAGTCTGAGGAATACAGTAGACCCAGAAACATGGAAGTAGGGCACAGACTGACATCCCTCAGAAGAGGGGATGGGGGGTGGGGGGTGGGAAGAGATAAACCACAGAACTTATATGCATGTATGCATGACCAATGGACATGGACAACTAAGCCGGGGACGGGGTGGAGGGGGGGTGGGGTGGGGGGTGCCAATGGGATAAAAAGGTAAAATATCTGTAACAAAAAAATAAATAAAAATTCATAAAAAAAAAAGAAAAAAAGAAATGATGTTCGTGTCCTGGCCAGTTTGACTCAGAGGTTAGAGCATCGGCCCGCTGATCAAAGAGTCTCCTGTTCTATTCCAGTCAAGACATCTACCTTGGTTTCAGTTCCCTCTGGGGCCGTGGTAGGGGTCGTGTGGGAGGCTATCAGTCGATGTGTGTCTCTCACATAGATGTCTCTCTCTCTTCCCCCTCCCATTCTTTCTGAAGATAAAAGGAAAAATATCCTCAGGTGAGGATTTAAAGAAAAAAAAAAAAAGATCTTCGTGACTGTAATACAGATTGCCAATGTTTATTTCATCTTACCATTCATCTTCTTGCTTTGCTTAACTCTTTAATAAGTCATTAGGTCCTAACTTGTTTTCTATTTCTTTAAATTAATTAATTCAATCAAAATAAAGTGTCATTTGGTTATCAGGCCCGGATATTCTTTTTAATCATCATTCATTTTTAAACATTTTGTGAGTGAAACCAGCATGTTTCCTAAATTAACCACATTGTCACACTATTATAACATAAGAAGCCTTTTAAAATATACTTAAGATAAATTCTAAGAACGTGTAAGGAAACTGATGAATTTCCTCACTTATTCAAATTGAGATATATCTCCACTAAACTGATGACTTTAGGCGCTATAACAATTATGTTAAGAGGCCAAGGTAGTACGGCTGCTAAGACAGTGGTAGCCACATCAAGTATCTGTGCAATATCGGAGGCCTTATTGACATTATTTCTTTCCTTCTCTTCTTTTAGTTGATTTATCTCTTTCTGCATCTCCTCATTTTTCGCCTTAAATCCTTCATTAAGCAGTTCTTCAGAGATCTGAAAAAAAAGAGAGTTTCCTTTTGAAAATTCCAATAATCAGAACTCTGAATTTAACAACAGCAGGAGCTAAACACATGTTCTATTTCTCTACTAATTTATATGCTCTTTGATGCTTTTTTGTACAATATTTCTAAACATTAGGACCTAGTAGTGGTAGTATGATGGTTTACACCTTGCCATGATCACTTATCACAGTCTCACTGGAGGGGGGGGGGAGTGAGGATTTAGAGGCTGCTAACTATGCCAGGAATGTGTTCCAGTCCTAAGGATGCTTTTTGGGAAGGTTAGGTATTTTTTTAATCTGATTATCTCTTGGTTCCACTGAAGTAGGATGACCACACACGTAATGGGAACTGTTGACTCTCCACAGAACTGGCTATCAAACTCCCGGTTGGGACATTGAACACGATTTACTCTGGGTGTAGAGAATAAATCAGGTAGATCTGAAAACCAATGTAGCCAATTTGAGAGCTTTTATGACCCTATATTTCATACCATGTACGATCTGACACTTTCAGACCCAGAGGATCTATAACAGGTGTCCTTGATGGTTGTACCTAACATCTGAGAAACTTAATAGACCTTGGGTGCACAAGGAGACCCTATTATCACCACAAGCAGCAGTTCAGGAGCCTGGAGCATGTTATTTGGACCCTAATACTACAGAAGGTGCTAAGTCTTACAGAATTGGGCTTTAGAATGATTCGACTAATTTAACATTTCACTGAATCATATACCTTTGGATTTGGGGAAGGAATAGGGGCCATTTACTAAACCTGAAAAGCTCAGGGGAGGCCTGTGAGGGAACTCACAAACTCAGAGTCCTAAAATAACCACAAAGGATGTCTGAAATTAAAACTTTTAACGAGAAGCAGTTGATGGTGGGTAGTCAACTCCTAGGCCAGAGTCTTCCTTGACCAAGTTCAATGTTTACCTTAACGGAGCCCGTCTATTGTCTTTTGCATCTACAATAACATATCTTTGCAATGTCAAAGTAATTTTCCTTTTCCAGACCCCTCGAAGCACAGGCACAAATCCCCTCATTATTATTGAGTTAATTGTTACTGTTAACTTTTCCTGTACCCACCTATGTCAAAGATGTACATGTCTATCATTTTACTTTTCATCCAATCCCAGAGGTTTCCCCGCTTTGCTTTCTCCCACCTCCCTACTCTATCACCAACAAATTTCATGTAACTCACTTGTGTTTTCTCTTTTGATTGTAATGTAGAAAATAAGGGGCCAGACTACCCTATTCCAGAGTTTTATCCCAATCTGTTTAGATATTACTTCCTGGCAACTGTCGACAGTTTGGCTCAAATAAACTCACAAGAATTCTGCACAGGTTTCAATGTTTCTTATGTTGACTATTTCCTTCATGGTTCATGCCCAGTTTTTGTTCCACTTCCTGAGGAACCAGGTTACTGTCCTGTGGGCACGCCCAGGCCCCGCCCAGGCTTACCTTGCGCTTGAGGTCCAGCATACTTTCCTGCTCTCTCAGGCGGATTTCCTGTTCTCTCTCCATCTTCTCCTTCAGCTGCGCTAAGTTTTCCTTGAAGGTTTTCTCCTGAGCCTCCAAAATTTTCTGCTGTTCCTTCTCTTTCTGTCTTCGTAGATCCAGTTCCTTCTCAGCTTCCCGATTCTTGGCACACTCAGCTGTTCTCCAAGGGTTTCACAGAGGAAAGAAATTAAGGCATGCTCAGCTCTACTCTCCAGAACTCAGAGACTAAAATGACTTTAAAATGGTAGGGAGAATCTCTGTCTCAGAATGGGATGGAGAAGCATTACGTTGCTGAATAAGCTACCAGAATTCCCCTGGTTATTTCCAGTTTAGTCAAGTTGCTGGGCAGAAGGACAGGAAGCGCCTTGTTGCAGGGGGGATTCGCTCACACCTGTTGCAGGGCACTGCAGGAACCTCCCCTCCCCCTGTGCTCAGAGCCCTGCCCTGTACCTGCCAGAGCCTTCTCCTCAGCACTGAGGGCTTGGTCTGCCTGCAGGATGGATTCCTTTGTTGCGGCCTGTGACTGCAGGAAGGTCTGGAGGACCTCATTTGCCTGAAACAAACAAATGAGGAGCAAAGACTCTCCTTCAATCAAACTGCAAATTTGACCCTGTACATTCTTTATCCTTCTTAAGATCCCACCATGGTTCCCTTCCTCCCACAGGCACACTCACAAAAAATTTTCACCTCTTTAGTTACAATAGAACCCTCAATGGCACCCTCTTTCTCAGCTCTCCATCTCTTATCTCAGTGATGCCATCAACCACCCACTCCAGGTTAGAGACAACCAAGTTTATGTGCATTTCTACTAACACTCATCCTCCATTGTGTGCAGTGTGTGCACAATTTTTTTCTTCTGTCCGGATATCCCCCTACCCTTTCTTTACTCAGATAGCATGGTTGACACTTCAACTTGTAGCTTCTCCCTCCTTTCTCAGGAAGCTTTGCTGAACTTCCTTCTGAGACCTGGATGGATGCTGAGTGCGCAGACCTGCCCTACCAGCTCTACCACTTGCTGGCTGTGTGTTGTTAGGCAACTTAGTAGCTTCTCAGTGCATCTCATTTCTCAACTGTATAATGGAAATGACAGTAGCACCTAAATTCATATTATTCTAAGAATTAAATTGATAATCCAAACACAGCACCTCAGATGATACCTGTAATAGAAAGTGAGTGCTCAGTATATATTAGCCTTCACCACCACCACCACTATCATCATCATCACTGTCAGTGTTTACTTGGATGATAACCATATCCCATCACATTCAATTGACTATTTATATGTCCTTTCTCAGTAAGATCATAGTGTTTTGAGGAAGTTGTTTTTTAAATTATATGTCTCCTATACTTAGCACAAAAACGATTACACTGTTAAATAAAACAAATGTTCTATTTCATCTTGATTGCAGATAATAAATCCTATATTTGGGAAGACATATTTCTGGATTGTTTAAAATTATTTAACTAATTATGGATATAAAAGATAAAAATGTAAAGCTCGCCATGCTCTGCTTTCTCTCCACAAACGGTGCCATGTGTTTTTCATTCCTCACCTTCACTCCTTTCCTGGGTACCAGGTTATAGGACTGTTCCAACTTTTCCACTGCTTCTAAGTAGAGGTTGTGTCCCCCAGGCACAGAGAAAGTTCCTCTTGAAATATCATCCATCAAGGGCTCTGAAAGCTGCTCAAGCTGAGCCTGGCAATACTTGCCAGATGCCTGTTCATTCTGAAGCAAAAAATCTTGCTTCTTCATCTCTATGGTTTCCTGGCAGGGAAATGTGGAGAAACCCAAAAGGAAGATGCTGTTAGAAGAGAGAGTCCAACTGGGGTCCTCTTGGAAGACACAGTCTGACTCATGGTTAAGAGGGTAAAGCAGGTAAGCACTGTGCCCATCTCCTCCCAGGACCGCATTAAATTTATAACCAAATTATTGAACAACCATCATTAAGAACCATCTATAGACTACCTGAACGGAAGTGCTATAAATAAAGATATAAAGAAGAAGCTACTTGAGACTTGTAGGAGGGACAGCTATGTGTAACAGGCATGTCACACATTTAAGGTGTAGCAATTAAGAATTAGGAGGGATATTTCAGCTGCTGAGTCCCCTGTGTGGAATGATGGGTCCTAACCCATACTCAGCTTCTCACCCCTAAGGAATCAATATCTGTCTGTGAAACGCTGAAGGGATTTTGAATGAATGGGAAGGAAACTTTCTGGAGTCCCAGGTGATCTTGAGGGGTAAGGACTCACTTACTCACAAACTCACTTGCTCCAACCTTGCAAAGGGTGCAGCTTGAAAGGCTCCAGGGATATAGAAGAAGGAACTTAATTGACTAGTTTCAGGGCTAGGGTGTGGGGGCAGAGGTAATGAAGGCTCTCTCTGGGGATAAGTGGAGACAGGCACCATTGTTCCTTTGATGAGCCCTCTCCCCACCCAGCTGGAAGGCACAGGTGGAAACCAAATTTGAGTTCTCCAATAGCATGACTTACACATGCTGGCAAGTCTTTAAGACATTACCCCTACCAGTTTGCACCTGGACTAATTGCTTCCAGCAGTTTCAACATACAAGTGGCCTGTCTCAGCTCACATTGTGTACTTTCCTGAAATCTCTGAAAGGCCTACAAGCCCTCAAAAAGCAGCTGCTGGCTTTGATGTGACATGTACTTCTTTTAAAGCAGCTCTAAGTATGGCAGAAGCAGTGACCAGTATCAAAACGCATTTTAACTTCCATCAAGTGGCACAAAGCCTGGCATAAGCCATGGTCTGTGATGGCTTAAAAGTTAGATTCAGTCCTGGCTGGTGTGGCATGGTTGCTTGGAGCACCATCCCATAAATCAAGGGATAATGGGTTTGAATCCCTGTTGGGCACATGTCTGGGTTGTGGGTGAGGTGCCCTGTTAGGAGGCAGCCGATCGATGTTCTCTCTCACATCAGTGTTTCTCTTTCTCTCCCTACCTCTCTCTATAATCAATTTTTAAAAAGGTTGTTTCACTTAAGTAGCCACAAGCCCAGCAAACTGGTGGCAGGCCTCAGCTCGGAATGGAAGTAAGTGAAACAGAGTCTAAAAATAATGATAGAAAACATCAGTGAAATCAAGAGCTGATTCTTTGAAAACTACACATAATTGATAAAGATTTAACAAGACTTATGAAGAACAAAGAGAGAACCCAAGTAAATAAAATCAGAAATGAAAGAGAAGTGACAACTAACACAACAGAAATACAAAGGATGATAAGCAAATACTATGAATAATTATATGATAACAATTTGGACAACCTGAAAGTAATTCCTGGAAACATACAAATTTCAAAAGCTAAATCAGGAAGAAGTAAAAAAATCTCAACAGATTGATAACAGCTAATGTAAATAAATCAATAATAAAAAAATTCTCAACAAACAAAATCTTTGAACCAAATGACATCAAAGGTGAATTTAACAAACATTCAAAGAAGAATTAATACTTATCCTTTTCAAATTATTCCAAAAAATTGAAGAAGAATAAAGACTCACATACTCAATTTAAGAGAATAGCATCACCCTGATATCAAAAGCCAACAAAGGCACTGCAAAAATAGAAAATTATAGGCCACTATCCCTGATGAACATAGATGCAAAAATTGTCAACAATATATTAGCAGACCAAGTTCCACAATACATTAAAAAGTTCATACACAATGATCAAGTGGATTTATTTCCAGGATGCAAGTTTGGTTCAATATTTGCAAATCAAAATGAGATATACCACATCAATAAAATAAAGAATAAAATCATATGATTGTATTAATAAATGCAGAAAACCTATTTGACAATATCTAACTTTCATTTATGATAAAGAAATCTCAGCAAATCTGGGATAGAGTATATATATCTTAACATAAGAAAATGCATACGTGACAAACCCACAGCTAACATCATACTCAGTTGAGAAAAGGTGAAAGCTTTTTCTTTCAGATCAGAAAAAGACTTTCAACACTTTTATTCAACATAGTACTGGAAATCCTATTCATAGCAATCAGACAAGAAAAAGATATAAAATGCACCCAAATTGGAAAGGAAGAAGCAAAACTATCATTAACCCCAGATAACATAACATTGTGTAGAGAGAATTCTAGGTTCCACTATAAATCTATTAGAACTAATAAATGATTTCAGGAAAGTACCAAGATTAAAAATTAATATTCAGAAATAAATTGCATTTTATATAATAATAATGAACTTTCAAACAGATAAAATGAAAACCCCATTTAACATTATATCACAAAAAATATATATAAACTATCTAGGAATAAATTTAGCCAATGATGTAAAAGACTTGTACTTGGATAACTATAGGGCATTGATGAAAGAAATTGAAGGAGTTACAAATGGAAGGGTATTCTACACTCATAGATAAGAAGAATTAACATTTATTAAAATGTCCATAGTATCCAAAAGTAATCTATAGATTCAGTGCAATTCCTATAAAAATACCAATAGGATTTTTTTCTTTCAAAACATTTATTTCAGGTAGAAAATTATGATGTACTATATATAGGAAGACAACCACTTGTAAGGTAGGTAAATAAAATACCTTGTGGAATACACTCATTTCGTCATTCAAATATAAAAAAAAGTGAAAGTAATTTTACATTCGATACTTGATTGAAAGCAATGTTATTCTATCCAGTAACAAGCCCAAAGCATCCCCCCACTCAGAGTTAAAGGTCTTCTCTCCATTCACACTCATAACCTTTAGAAAACAATCATAAAATTTTTTATCCAGAACTTCTCCTAAAAATTCATATCTTCTTATCTCTGTTATCCTTACCGGAATGACTGTGTTTTGTTTTTCATAGATAATTTTTTTCTGATTGCCACTAAGCAAGCACATCAACCTTTGGACAATATCTTTTTATAAAAGCATAAAGAGAAAAATAACAGTCTCCGGTTAAGTGAGGGGCAGGTATGGATTATTGATCTCTGTTGGAGTATCTATCATTTGGCTGGCAGAGTGAGCAAGCTGAATGTGCTTTGGTAGTCGGCCCCACCTGACAGGAACCCATGTTGACACAAACCTGCCCTGGTCCTAGAGTCCTTCTCAATGGTAGGCATGAGTGCCCAGAAGAAGAGTCACCAAAAGGAAAAGTGCTGTGAGTTCTGACTTGAGTAGAGTGCTGGCCAGAGAGCCAAAGCAGCCCCCCAACCCCTGTACACCCAGGGCAAATGCAAAGTGTCTAGGCACAGCTGTCCTCACGAGTGCATGTGAGGCAGGCGGGGCAAGAGGGAGACCCCATTTATTTGGATGAGGAGCACCCAGCATCCCTGGGAGAATCACGGTGTGGGGGCTGACCGTTATCACCCAGACCCCCGTGTCCTCCAGATCTCGGTGCCCGGTGTGTCGGACGGTTTCTACCTGTTCCTCCTGGGCCATTTGCCACGGGACCTTCAGCCCCCTGGGGGAGGAGACGGGTTTCTTCCTCCCGTTCTCTCCATCCTCGGATCAGATTCATCCTTGTAGAAGTGAATTGTGGCTTGAACTGGGAAACTGGCCAGCACTTTCCCCCCAAAACGGCAGATATTCCTGGCGATTTGGGTAAATAAAGTCTTAGGGGATGCTGAAACCCAAAGGCCCCCTGTGACCCAGAAGTTTGTTGGTCACCGCCAGGCTCGTGGTGTCGGTGATGCCCAGCGACTGCGAAGGACTCCAAGGAGGACAGGTGAGTCTGACTCAGTCTCTCTGTTCAGGCATTTTAAATGCGGCTTCCAGTTCTGGTCTGCTCAGCATCTCGGGGTCTCAGGATCCAAGGTCTCCATGGTGTGGAGCTCTGGGGCCCACACAGGGACGGTGGCCTCCGGGGGCAGTGACAGACGTGACCCTGCGCCTCCAGGGCTGCAGCAGCTGCCTCAGGTTTCATGGTGCCCACAGAGCCCACGCCCTTCTGGCGGCACCAGCGACTGGGACGTGCCGTCCCAATAGGATTTTTCACACAGCTAATCACAAAATGTATGTGGAACCACAAAAGACCCTGAATAGGTAAAGCAATTTAGAGAAAGAAGAGAAAATGTGGAAGTATGCTACTTGATATGAAACTACACAAGCTTTAGTAATCAAAACAGTATTGTATTGGCATAAAAACAAACTCTAAGTCAAAGGAAGAGAATAGAGACCCCAGACATAAACCTCCACCTATATGGTCAATTCATCTGTGACAAAGGAGGCAAGAATATCCAATGGGGTAGAGACAGTGTTGAACAACTGGACAGATACATATAAGAATAAACACAAAATGAATCACAGACTTAAATGTAAGACCTGAAGCCAAATATATGTGTGTGTGTGTGTGTGTGTGTGTGTGTGTGTATATATATATATGTATATATACTGGGACAATGGAAACAGAAGGAAAAAATTAAAAAAATATTCTACACCAAACTAAAATATTTTTTGCAGAGCGAAAAAAAACCATCAACAATCCGAAAAGACAATCTGAATGGGAGAAGGTATTCACCAATGATAAATCTGATAAGGGATTAATATCCAAAATATATAAGAAACTCATAATACACACACACACACACATCCAATTAATAATGGGTAGAGGACCTAAATAGATACTTCTCCCAAGAAGACATACAGATAGTTACAAGACATATAAAAATATCCTCAACTTCACTAATCGTGAGGGAAATGCAAATTAGAATCCCAATGAAATATCACCTCACACCTATCAGAATAGCTATCATCAATAAATCAACAAACAAAAAGTATTGGCAAGAATATGGAGAAAATGAGAAACCACCATGCACAGCTGGTGGAATTTTAAATTGATGTAAACGCCATGGAAAACACTAAGAAGACTCCACGAACAATTAAAACTAAGACCACTGTATGACACAGCAATTCTACTGCTGGTATTTATCTGAATAAATCCAGAACACTAATTTGAAAAAATATATGCACCCCTCTGTTATTGCAGCATTATTTACCATAGCTTAGATTGAAAGCAACTTAAGGGTCCATCAATAGACAATTGGCCCTGGCCGGTTTGGCTCAGCAGTTAGAGCGTCGGCCTTTGGTCCAGAGACCAGGGTTCGGTTCCCGCTAAGAGCATGTACTTCAGTTGCAGTTTGTCCTCGGCCCTGGTTGGGTCATGTGGGAGGCAGCCACTCGATATGTCCCTTTCACATCGATGTTTCTCTCTCTCTCTCTTCCTGTCTCTCCCTCCCACTCTATCTGAACAAAAAATAGAAAAATGTCCTTGGGGGAGTATAAAACAAAACAGACAATTGGTAAAGAAATGGTACATATAGACAATGAGATACTACTTGGCAATATTAAAGAATGAAATATTGCCATTTGCAACAACATAGATGGACTGAGAGGGTATTATGCCAAATGAAATGAGTCAGACAGAGAACGACAAATACCATATAATTTTACTTATATGTGCAATCTAAAAAATAAAGTAAACGTAACCACAAGATGGAAATAAACTCATGAATATAGAGAAAAAATTGATGGTTGCCAGATGGGAGGCAGTTTTGGGGGGATGGGTGAAAAGGGAAATGGGATTAAGAAATAAAACTACCAGTTATAAAAATAGTCATGGGGATGTCAAATACACATAGGGAATATAGTCAAGAATGTTGTAATAATTTTGTCTGATGTTAGGTGGGTACTAGACTTATCAGGGTCATCACTTTGTAAGTTCTATACATGTCTAATCACTATGTTGTATGCCTGAAACTAATTATAATATTGTATGTCAACTGTAACTGAGAAAAATGAAAAATAAAAATAAAAGAAGCAGCCTGCAGGCATCAGGGTAGACTGGGAATGGGAATGACCAGGCATCATGTGGAAAGTCTCTCATTCACTCTGGCTCAGGCTCAACACCTGTGAAATGATGGGTCAGTAGACATGAGCTTCTTGGTGCCTTTCCTTCACAATTGATATATAAGTGACATGTGACATTATAATACTTTCAGGTGTACAACTTAACAGATTGTTATTTGTGTACATTGTGAAATGACTACCACAATAAGTCTAGTTGACATCCCGCACCTTACATCAAAAGAAAAATAAAAACACTTATTATTAGATTTACTCTGTAGCAACTTTCAAATGTAAAACCCAGTGTCATGCATGGTTCCTTTATCAGTAGTAGGATTGCTTGACAATGGGCACTGGGAAATTAAGAGGACTTTCCTCTGTGAACTTGGGCTGCTATGGATAAAAATATATACATAGCAAATCAAATGCCCACACATGAACTAAGCAGTCTCTAAACAGAGCTTTAAACCTGTCATGTTTTTTTTTTTTTCAAAGAGGGGATGGTTGTGCAAAAATATGGAAACAAAATTTATTTGCTGTACTTCTACATTTTAATAAAGTTGGTTTTATTCTAAATGAACTAAGAGATTTTTGTAATCTGTAATAGTGCAATGACAGACTCAAAGACAAACTTTCAGTGACCATGCCTACAGTAAGTAGAATTATGATGTCTTCTAAGTGTTCTCTCCCCTGATGTGCACTCTCTACATAGTCCTTGGGCCTGTGAATATGCTTAATATTAATCCTGTCTTTAGATTATGTTATGCATCCCAGGTTGACTTTAAGAGGGAGATTTCCAGGTGAGCCTTACCTAAGTACATGCGCCCTTTAAGAGCAGTTTTCTCTAGTTGGTGGCAGAGAAGGTAGTCAGAGTCATTCGAAGCCAGACAAGGATATGGTTCACCATTGCTGGCTTGAAGATGGAGGGGAGTTTCCCAGAACCTCCATAGGAAAACATAAGCCCATTTGAACCTTGTTTCAGCTTGTGGCACACTGAGCAGGGCACCCGTGTCTTGTGCTGAAATCTGACCTGGGGAGCTGTGAGCTAATGAATGTGTGTTGTTTTAAGCTGCTAAGCACATGATAATTCATTTTGCAATAATAGAACATGAAGAACTAATCTGTAAAAAAAGTACGAATGGTAGCCTATAGAGCCCTACTCCTCAGAAGAATCCAGGATCATTCTACCACGAGAAACACATGAATTTTGGAGTCACAAAAAAGGGAATCTAGGCATCATCTCAGAAGGAGTTTTCAGGAAGGATGTATACTAAGACATGTTACCACAAGCTTCTTCTGGAATTCCCGCTTGTCATCCTTGAAGGAGCGCTCCATGAAGATGGCAATGGCTTCCCTCTCGCAGGCTGCGTGCAGGTCCAGCAGCTCCTGGAGCGAGTCTGTGGGGAAGCTCACTCGCTGGGCCATCTGCTCAGTGTAGTGATCGGCCGCCTTCTGCACAGCTGCTGAGTTCTCAAGCTCAGCCAGTGCTGTCACCGCGTTCTCCAAACAAGGCACAGCTCCACTGTTGATGGCATCCACATAGGCCTTTGCCAGAGTCCCGAGTCCTGAATGACACATGATATTTGAGAAATCAACAGGAATTTCTTGCTTGTCATTTTGTAAGCTTTAGAGCTCAGCATTCTAGAAATCGCAACAATTTTATTGAAATGAGGTGTTCTGTTCTTCTCCCCGTGTTCCTCCTTGTGCTCATCCTTGTCTTCTCTTCTTTTTTCTTTTCTGTGTCCACTCTCTAATCGTAACATTACTGTGTATTCTAGTCACACTTTTTTGATTTATGGATTCATCACATTATAATATAATAATAATCGCAACCAAGTCAAGGATTTCCTAGAATAATTTTCCCACTGAAACTTTATAAAGACTATGTTTTATAGGTAAGTAAAGTTGATAATTTGTTCACACTATTCCAAAATTAATGTGGGCCCCTTTTAAGAAATCATCATAATTTCAGGACAGTGACACAAGTATTAAAACCAGTATGGGCATATTCAGCACCGGGCACTGTGTGTCTGCCCTGGGGCATATCCGTGATTCTTGCCCTGTACATAAATCTATAGTTACATTTGTTTCTGAAACTTTCCATGTGCTTTCAGAGGCTCACGTTTTGCTATATATTTTCTAACTGGTGTAAATTCACAAAATATCTTGTGTATCCTCACCGTGAAGCACTCATCTCGTTGGTCCTATAAGCATCATGCAGATTCTTATCCTTAACAGCAAAGTGTGTTTATGTCATTCGTGTATGAGTTTCCTGAGACACAGTAGGCTCACATAGGGAAACTTTAATGAGAAAACATGCATGTCTATGTGTGGTGTGAATCTCTGCTTTTTCCACATCACAGAGAGAAGGCAACAACTGCCAGCAAACCCAGAGTGCAGTCACACACACTGAACCACAGAGGAACATGCTGTAACAAAGAAGACTCACCATTTCCAGTGACGGTGATTCCCTGTCTTAGGGTCTTGGTTTTTGCATGTGTGAAGATATAGGTACAGAAAGTTCTGTATTGTTCCTGGAATTCCCTTCCTAGTTGGTTTTCTGACACCTTCTCCATATGTTGCAATAATTTTTTGTCATTTGTAGGCCAGTCAAAGACAAAGCACTTACGCCTTGGAAAGAACTTTCTGATATACTCTCTAGGCATGTTGGATTTCTGGATTTTAGGATCCTCACCTGCAGAAAAGAAAAAGAGCAATCACTGATGAGACAGCCTTTGGGCACAGAGGTTGAAAACTTTTATTTCTTTGGATCACTGTATCGCTGGTTCCTGTAAATCTCCCTTTATTTAATCATATTAACCTAATGCCAATCTACCCAAAACATAGACATTTTATTTCTTTATTTTTGTTCAGAGCCAGGAGTAAAGGAAGTACCTCTGGAGAAGAAGAGGACGTATCATTCCCAAGTGAAGAAATTAATGATTGTTTTATTAGCCCTTCTATGGTATCCAGTGGCTTGACTATTTATTAGATGTTTTTGAATGTTAGACTAATCCTCAGAACTGTCAGAAATATCTTTGATATCACTGTACTTGTGACAGAAGTAAAACATGGGCTCTGAAATAAAAGTAAATCGCTTCCTAGTAGAAATAAGTATGTGTATGATATTTATGGGGAAAATATCAAGTGAAGGACTGATGATACTCAGAACAGTAAAGAGAAACTTCAAAAATCAGAGTTAAAAAAAAATACACACAAAACAAATATGTGCAGAGATTTTTTTTTTTTTAGTAGATATCATAAAAAAGTAAGGTTTAGTGTCCAGCCTGTGTGGCTCAGTGTTTGAGCATTGACCCATCCACCAGGAGGCCACTGGTTTGATTCCTGGTCAGGACACATGTCCAGGTTTTGGGCCAAATACCCAGTGGGAGGCATGCAGGAGGCGGCCAATACATGTTCTCTCTCATCGATGTTTCTATCTCTCTCTCCTCCCTTTCTTTTTCTCTAAAAATATCAATAAAAAGGAAAAAAAAATTTTAAAGTATAAGGTTAACTTAATGTCACTTGGGAACCATACTGGTTCTCTATATCAGATTATTTTGTTCATTATGTTCCACAAATAAGTGAGATCATGTGTTGCTTGTCTTTCTCTGACTGGCTTATTTCACTCAGCAAAATACTCTCCAGGTCCCTCCACGTCGTCTCAAAGGATAAGAGATCTCTCTTTTTCACCACTGCATAGTATTCCATTGTGTAAAAGTACCACCGTTTTTTTTTTTTTATCCACTCAGCTATTGATGGGCACTTGGATCATCAGAGAGATACACATTGAAATGACTATTTTTTTTCATGTTTTATTTATTTATTTTTTGCCTCCCATCATCAATATTTATTGAGCATTTACAGTGTACTAGGCACAATAGAACATACAAGAAAACATTGTCCCTGCTCTTGAGGAGCTTACATTCTAAAAGAAAAAAAATACACCTCTTTTGAAATGGTATTTTCGTTTGGTGTTTTGCAAGGTACTGAGGAAATAGTCTGTAGGGTGAGCTTTGGGTACAAGTTAGCCCCATTATTTAAAGAAAAGAGGAAGAAGAAGATTTTAAAGGCAGCCAATGACAGACCATTCTGGATAGGTAGAGTTTCACAGGGAGATAAAACAATCTCATCAACTAAGGAGAGATTTGCTGCAGTAAATAGAATGAGGGAAATAGTTTGTGGGATGTAAGCAAAGGAAGTGAGGTATCCCTTAGATATTGAGTGGAGCCAGATAGATCATGCAGCCCCTTTTTCCAAGTACATGGCCACCAAGTAGAAATGATTGGTGACAGACAGAAGGCTATAAAAAAGGTAATCTTGTGTGCGCCTGACAAATAGAAAGAATAAAGGATCAAAGTTGAAGGCAGGCTATAACAGTATCAAGGAATTCTTAAAAACAAAAGTGATTTGGAAGCACAAAACTTACAGATAATGCTACCCAATGTCATGATGGGCCAAGAACACTGCGGCTTCCCAAGTTAGAAAATACCATACACTAAAATTTTAAATGGAACACATTATTTTTTTCCAATCCCCACACCTCTGAAAAACAAACAAACAAACCCAACACCTTTTTTTCAGGGGGCTGAGGGTAGTTGAGGTATGGGACATGGTTGGGAACAGTAGTTCTACTAGTAGTATTTTGTTATGATAAACTTTGTATTTAAACTTGGTAAAAGCCCATTAGCTGCCAAGAGGGAATAAGGAATATATTTCCAACAATGTACAATTTCCTTTAGAGAAATTTCAGAACCAAAACACTAATTTACATGAGAAGCTGTAGAGAAGTAGTTGAAAAGTCCATTCATAAAACTTTTATTCCACTTACATGAACTTAATACATGTGTTCTTAACAATTATGCTTAGATTGTTCATGAAAATTTCATAAGACATTAAACAAAGCTAGCCATTATCTCAAGTTATTTCCCTGTTAACTATTGTTACAGCACATGCATGTTAGGCAAGTATCAAAAAAAAAAAAATCACAAAAGCAAAAAAACCTAAAAAAAGTTAAATACATGGTTTTGTTTGTTTTGTTTTACTGCTGTGCTTGATATACATGAAGTAATGAATATCAAGCAATTCATTTTACTGCATCTTTACTTGCACATTTGTTCTTAGGTTGCCTAAAACATTTAAATACAAATAAAATGACTGTAGCAAAAGTAATGAAAGCAAACAGCAGGTAACTTTACAAATAATGGAATGTGAACCGTTTCTGCCCGTATCCAGAGTAAATTGGGTCACAACTAAAGGAACACTTCTGCAGCTGTAGTCAAAGGTGTGCACATTGAAATTGAGTATTCCACAGATACACACATGGTTCAACATGTACTACCCATGGGATATCCATTTCTACCACAGCCCTCTAAGTGCTCCTAAACTAAAGTACCCACAACAACTACACCTGTGACTGGAACCAATTATCCCTTTTATTCTCCACCAGGACAAACCATATGTAGGCAGTTCTCTTTGCTTAGACATGGAAGCAATTTTAACACCGGCCCCTGTGAAGCCACAATGTACCAAAAGTACTATGCCAAACATTTTTAACTTGTATAAAAATTCCACATCCCCATATTGGCCACCTCAACATGAAAACATACCTCCCTAAATGTTAACTGGCTCTACTCCCCTAATATTAAACATAAAAACCACATGGGAAATATAGAAATTCAAATAGAAGGAACATAAACCTGTCATAAATCATAAACAAAAAACTATTTGTGGGACAGCATGGATGACAAATGGTCTACTGTGTAAATTTTAGAATGAGGCAGACAAAAGTTTGAAGGCTGGTTAATTTTCTCCTCCTTCCCCTGCTTTAGCTTCATCTCCTTGGGTATTCGATTTCCACAATGTCAAATTGTTTCTCAGTAATTGCATTATTAGCTTGCTGTCTTTGTATGACTCTTCACTTACTGTATCAAGTTCAGCAATGGCTTCATCAAAAGCTGTCTTTGCAAGAGAGCAGGCTTTCTCCGGGGAGTTCAGAATCTCATAATAGAACACAGAGAAGTTAAGGGCCAGACCCAATCTGATAGGATGTGTTGGTTGCATTACCTTTTTGCTGATTTCCAAAGCTTCTTGGTATGCTTGTTGTGACCGATCCACAATCCCTTTCTTGTCATCCCCTGGCAACCTCAGCCAAGTAACGGTAGTAGTCTCCTTTCATTTTCAAATAGAAGACTTTGCTCTCTGCTTGTGAAGCATTGGGGATCAATAACTTTTCCAACAGAGACAGTACATCATTGCAGATATCTCTTAGCTCGGTCTCAATTTTTTCTCTGTATTCTCGAGCCATCTGCTGTTTTTTCTCAGCACCTTCTGTCTTTTGCTCAATACTTGAGACGACCCTCCAAGATGACCTACGGGCTCCCACAACATTTTTATAAGCAACTGAGAGAAGGTTCCTCTCCTCATTGGATAATTCAGCTCCTTGCTCAGTTACAGACTTCATGCAGGCTGCCATGTCATCATATCGCTCAGCCTGTTCGGCCAGTTTGGCCTTCTGCACCAGCTCATTTTTATCCATGACTGGATGTTCTGTGTCCGGAGTGAGTGGCGGCGGACCGACGGGGACTCAGCAGTCTCTGGGCCTATTTATTTTTTATTAATTAATTTTTGTTACAGATGTTTTTCCTTTTCCCCCCAACTGATTCCGCCCTCCCCCTCCCTCCCTGCCCTGTCCTCAGCTTTGTTGTCTATGTCCATTGTTCATGCATACATGCATATAAGTTCTGTGGTTTATCTCTCCCCCACCACCCCCTCTTCTGGCGATTGTCAGTTTGTACCCCACTTCCACATCTCTGGGACTACCCGATTCCTCAGACTGTTATGTTCATTATATTTCACAAATAAGTGAGATCATATGAAACTTGTCGATCTCTGTTTGGCTTGTTTCACTTAGGATGATACTTTCCAGGTCCCTCCATGTAGTCTCAAAGGATAAGAGATCTTTCTTTCTTACAGCTGCATAGTACTCCATTGTGTATATGTACCACCGCTTTTTTATCCATTCGTCTACTAATGGACACTTGGGCTGTTTCCAGATCTTAGCTATTGTAAATAGTGCTGCTACAAACATGGGGGTGCACATATTCTTTCTGATTGGTGTTTCAGGCTTCTTGAACTTCCATTTGACCCAGTGATCCCACTTCTAGGAATAAAATGACTATTAAATATCACCTCACATCTGCCAGAATGGCGGTCATCAACAAATCCTCAAACAACAAATGCTGGCAAAGATGTGGAGAAAAGGGTGCCCTAGCACACCGCTTGTGGGAATGCAGACTTGTGCAGCCACTATGGAAAACAATATGGTGTTTCCTCAAAATATTAAAAATGAAACTGCCATTTGACTCATTGATTCCACTTCTTGGAATATACCCAAGGAAGCCTGAAACACCAATCAGAAAGAATATATGTACCCCTATGTTCATAGCAGCACTATTTGCAATAGCGAAGATCTGTAAACAGCCAAAATGTAAAATATTTCATATATGAAGGATTTAACTATGCAGGCTATTGAAATAGACTACCTAAAAAATGTTTCAATAATACAGTCCTTTGATTCTGTGTTTACCATCTTCTGTACTAATGGGCATTTTTTTCTAAATAGAACAAAACATAGCTCTGAACTTAATCATTAACACAAATATTTGAGCCTTAGCAGGTTTTAGCATTGGTTGTAATCCTTTAATTTTTTTCATTGTGCCAATTTTTCTCAAATCACTTTTCCAATATTTTATTCTACACATTCTCAGCTAGCTTAACTTCTTGTTTCTTGAGTTTTGCAGTAATAAGAACTGACGCCCTACTCACTGCCATACACATATCACTGTTAGCATAGGCCTCAATGTGATTATAAATAAACATTGCCCTTAAGTGCTGAATGACAGGGCTCAGTTGATCCCACATCCTACTAAACCCTCTACCACCCAGACTGTGCTCTGATACCTGGAATCAACTTCAAGGCATTCTCCAGGTACTCATCTTCAGTGATGGTGCGTCCCTTTAACTTCAGCTCCAGCAGGAAATCCCGTACAGCCCAAAGTCTGGGAAGAAACTCACAAACTCAGCTGAGTCATCCACTTCACCAGAGCTGGGGGAGGATTTTGTCCTGATCAGCTTTGTTAGTTCAGTCACGTAGCTGGGATCTTAGCTAAGGAATGAGAAGTGCTCCATGCCAAAATGTCCTGTTCTTATCAATAAGCAAGTTTTATGAACCTTCCCATTCACCCAGTGTCCCTTTGTCCTCACCCATGATTATTGACAAAAGGAAAAAACAAACAATAACATAAAAAAAAAGAAAGTCTCAGTTACATTCCCATAGACCCCATGACCCCTGGTGGTTCAGCTCCTGGAAGGATACTGCAGCTGCTCCAGGGCCTGGTGGTTGATGGTGCCCACGCTGTTGTAGACAAACATGCTGCTCAGGAGCACGGCCAGGGCAAAGATCCACGAGTCATTTTCAGGGTCGCTCTAGGAAGCACATTACAGCAGTGGACTTAGGTGTCTGCTATTCATTCACCATCCAGTTGTTCATGCACTATGCCAGCTCTATTATAACTGAACTGTAGGGCAAATAACGTACACTCTGAAGACAGTGTGCATTTAAACCTCATTTTGGTGTCTTAACATTGACTCCTTTTATGGCCTAAGTTCTTTAGCAATTAAGAGAAGTGAATGACACTAAAACTATGTGTCAAATATTTCTCATAGTTCCGAGAACATAGACATATGCAGTAAGTGGGTAATGATTTTTTGGTAACTTTCTCTTGACAACAGGCTAATTGAGGACACAAATGGTATTCAATTAAATTCACCAAATTCCCATTTTACATCAAAAAATGCCAGACACTGCATTTAGTTTTGTGGATATCAGGTTCCACAGGGCAATCTTGAACTTGAAGAGATGACTTGCTAGAGGGGCAGATATCCATGGCAACATGTAAATGCATTCAAGGTGATCAATCCTGCCAGGAATGAAACCCAATGTAGTAACATAAATGACAAAGGGGGAAGGCAAAATCCAGAAAAATTACTCTGTGATTACAGGGCAAAGAATAATTATGTCTGAAGCAGATGCAATCTCATTAGGTTGAAAATAGCTACACTGAAAGAGTGGACAGAATGTGCAACTGTGGAGATAAAGGGACCAGGCAGGTGGAAGGACCAACAGAATAGTCAAAAAGTGTGGTCATACAGAGAAACTACAGGTTATTTTATTTGATTGAAGTAGTAGTCATGGGTGTGGTAGGAACAAATGATAGGCTGAAAATCAGACCAGAGTACATCAAGAGTGATGTTGCAATAGAATCGGATACTATGGTTGTAAGGGTGGCAAGTCCTTCTGCTGCTACCAGTTGACAGTTAGTTATGTTTTGGTGCCTTTACAAATGTAACTAGATTTAAAATAAAGAAGGTTTATGTAAACCACAGTAGGTTAAGAATGAATAGGCCCTCTTGGGTTTACACTGAGGTGATTCCTGTGAACTGAAAACCTGAATTATCAAAATTCAGAGCATCCCTGCCATAGCCTCTGTGGCTCAGTTGATTTGAACATTGTCTCCTACACCCAAAGGTCATGGGTTCAATTCCTGGTCAGGGCACATATCTGGGTTGTGTGTTTGATCTGATCGGGGAGAGTAAGGGAGGCAACTGATTGATGTGTCCTTCTCTCATAGATCTCTCTCTCGCTCTCTCTTCTCCCTATCTCTCTCACTAAGATCAAGTATAAAATAAATAAATAAAAGGTGCACTGCCGCTGCTTTCAATTAAAATTTAACCTAATTCAAATAAGGACCAAGGATCGACTGCAACTAATACAGAAAAGACATACCTAAAAGTACCTATGGACAATATTTTTAGTAGCTCATGATTTTATGGAAGTCAGTGAGACTCCAGGACATTTCCCCAATCACGCGCATCTGAAGTACTTAACATAAAATCCTAGAATTTAGTTGCCCAATAAGCATTTGCTATCTTATAACTTTTACTCAAGTGAAAGACTAAGAAGATTAATATTTAATATGGAAAGTATTAAGCTAAATTTGCTGGAACAATATTTAACTTTATTATTCTTAATTGAATTTGTTGTGTATAAAATTATATCATAAAAGTTGAATTGAGGTGGCAAATTAAAATGTAGATTCTCTGTCTTACCTTTTCCACATCGGCCAGGCCCTCAGTGTCCAGAAGGACCAGGGTGTGGTTGAGCTTGGAGGGGTGGGGCACACACCACATCCAGATGCCCTTGGTTTCAGACCTCACCGTGGATCCCAGAGGGAAGCCTGCAAAGGAAGAGGGGAAAGCCATGTACAGTAACAGCAGCTGGTCCGGGCTGCCCACAGGTTACTTTGGATAAACTTGTGGGAATGCGAGTGCATGGCGGGGAGGAGGGTGGCTTCAATTTTCTCAAGGACAGCCAATCTAACCTTTATACACATGAATGGCCTTATCAGGAAACACATTGTGTTCCCTATTCACCTCATTCTATCCATGGGTCATCATATGTCACATTGCAGAGTTAATATCAAGTCCGTTGACCTTTATAATTTCTTCTGACGCTGTAGAGCTCCCTTGTTCTTTAGGGTCTGATGGAGTTCAACCACTGGGTGGCACTAGCAGGAGATTGGAAGTCAGGCATGCGTCCTACTGGGTCCCCCCTAGTGAGCCCCAGTGTCCCAGGGCCTCTGTTCCTTTACTGTGCGTCACAGCCCTTTCAGGGAGTTCCATCCAACAGTGCCGGTCTTTGACACTCTCTGGAATTCACTTTTTGCTCGCCTGTTCAGGCTACAGGAGTGACCGAAGTTATCTGGCCATTGCTATCGCCAGTCTGTGGGTGTTTTCTCGTCTCTCATTGGTTCTGTGTGACCTGCTTATGCCCTTGTCTGAGTCCCTCTATTGAACACTCTTTATGTGCTCCTTGAGAGGTTCATGGGTGTCCTGCCAGGACCTGTACTGATAATCAGCTTTGTTGTTATTTTTTTCTTCCTTTTTACTCCTGTATTTTTCTCATGTCTTTTTTATTTCTTCAAGGAAATGAGTCTTTTGTACACTGCCTCAGGTGGGGATATAATGAAGGTGAAAGCAGAAAAGACCTATGAAACTTGTTTGCTTTTCTTTCAAAAGGCTTAAACCCACTGTAGAGAGCATGTGAGGATATGCCCAAGAACCTGTGTGTGATATATCCTGTCCAACAGTTCAACATTTTTAACATCTTCCATATACCACTGTGTCCTTCACTGAGGAATAGCAGTGATGAAATACCTAGGGAAGGTTGGTTCAGCATGACTCATGCTGAGGTAGGCTAGTAAAAAGCTAGGAAATTTCCTTCACAAGTATAATAGGAAAACAGAGACACATAGTTGAGGAAACTGGTAGAACCATTAGAGCAGATACAGGAGTTCCCCTTTCTAGACATCACATCTAGGCATCAGTTGTGTCTCAGCTTCAGACCAAGAAAAGCAGCAAAAACAGGTGGGTGACACCAGAACCAGCTGCAGTGACTAATGATGTCCTGTCCTGGCACTGATCAATCAGTAGAGACTTCGACCCTGAAAATACACACCTGGGAAACTGATGAATAATCTGCTGAAACCCTCCCCTGGGACCTCCTCTAAGCCTCCTGCCTGAAGAGAGATATAAAATCCTCATGGCAAAGGATACAACCTACACTCTCCCTCTGAGGAGCAGCCTGCACCATTCTCATCTTGTTCTTTCCCCATTTATCCCCACAAGTACACATCTTCTAAACTCTAAAGGTCCCCACAAGACTTTCAGCCAATGGAGCAATAGGCAGTGGCTGCACGTCTCAGGATAAGCCCTTGAATGTGTCTCCAAGGTCCTCTTTTTCTGACTTTCCATGAGCCAGGGCAGCCCAGCCTAGACCTCCCTATTTCACTGTTCCCAGCTTTAATAAACATACCCTCATAGTCACCTGAACTCGTGCTGTGAAATTTTTCCTCCACGAAGTCAAGGACCCTCAGACTACAGGCTGGCTTTAGGGAGACCCTCTGAGAGGCAGGTCCTGTGTCTGTGAATGTCTGGTGACCCAGAAATTGGATTTTCTTTTCTGAGCCTATGCAGCCCATCTGGCTCAGTTGCAGTGACTCAGATGGTCTTATCATGGCATAGAATAGCAGGATTCCACAGATAACCACCCAGGACCAACTCACAGATGCCAACCCGCGCTTGGTACCAGCAGGGCCCATTGTGACACAGTGGCTCCTTGTTTTGCCTTGGGTGAACTTGGTGAGTTCCCTTGGAATTCCAAGCCCCCTGTTTAAGGTAAAAAGCTCACTTTCTTTGGCCTGTTTTGTTGTTTGTTTGTTTGTTTTTTAATTCCCAAGACGGACCTAAAGGTTATTGGTTTAGGGAACCTTAGCTATACATAAGGGTCGAGATACCTAAGGACAGGAGAAACAATGGATGGCTGGTTTATAACTTTGGCTTTTCAATGTGAAATTACTTTCTCGGGGTCTGATAAAACCTTTTACTGCATGAATGTCAACCTGGGTTCATTTTGTTCCAAGAATGGAACTCCCTCCAGCTTGAACCTCTGGCATTCTTAGGCAGTGAGAATCTTTGTGGAGCAGGAGGAGAAACTGACACATGAGAGTTACCTTAAGACAATGATGAGACCTCAGTTCTTGTCTTCTTAAAGGAAAGATTTCAGTCAAGAGACAAAGTGCAGGGAAATAAAAGGAGGAGTAAAAAGATGGCAGTGGGCAGGACCAAAGTGAGGGTGAGTTGGGAGAGTGTTAATGAGTGTAAGAGAGATTGTGAGTGGACGTGAGTGTGGACGAGCAACCTCGAGCATGTAGAAACATGGGCCAGAGGGTTCCTGTGGATGGGGAGCAGTCAGCTACCGGGGCAAGTGGCTTGTCAGGAGGCTTCTCCCTGCTCAGCCTGAAGGCACACTATTTGGAAGATCCTTGGTCTTTTCTGGGAGGAGGCAATGGGAATCAGCTAGGGATGAATGACCTGAGTCCACCAGTACGCCTTGCACCATCAGATCAGTGGACCCTGCTGTGTCAATGCAGACCAGCATCGAGTAGCAGCACTATCCAGGTGCCTGTTGCAGTAGCTGCAACCCACAGGAAGCTGAGCACCATCGCCCACAGCAGCAGCCTGATTGCAGCCCAGCACCATCCTTCACAGCAGTAGCCTGATCAGAAACCAGCACCATCTCAACAACAACAGTCTGACCTCAGCCTAGCATCATCCCCCACAGCGGTAGACTGATTCAGAGCCCAGCACCATACACCACAGCAACAGCCTGATCTAAACCCAGTACCATCTCCCATAGCCACAGCCTGATTGGAGCCAAGCATCATCCCCAGCAGCAGTAGCACTAGCTAGGGAGCCCAGCACTTTCCTCCACTGCAGCAGTAACTGGGTATGAGTGGATCCCCACCACCAACAGCAGCTGAGGCTTGGGAGTGGAAACCAATCTCCAGGCAGCAGCAGCAGCACAGATCTGCAGCTGAGACCAACCCCAGCATCATCATCAGAGGCTAATAAGGAGTGGTGGCCCAGCCCAAGCAGCAGCAAGGCTCAGGAAGCCGAGACCCACCCCTGACAATGCAGCAGTGAATTTGGGGTGTAGCCCTTCCCCCAGCAGCAGCAAACTCCCAGGAGCTGAGCATCCTCAGCCCCCAACAGCAGCAGAGGATTGGAAGCTTAGAGAACAGCCTGGCAACAGCAGCAGCAGTAGCAGTGCAAACTGGGAGCTGACACTCACCCCAGCATAATTAGCAATGACTGATCATGAGCTGAGCCCCACCAGGCAGCAGCAAACCCAAGCAGTGCCCCAGCAGTACTCATGCACCCTAGAAGCACACCAGCTAAACCCAAGCACCCTAGGAACACATACCATGACAGACCAATGCCAGCCGCCAGTTGTCAATCCTCCAGGACCCATAGAAGGCAAGAGGCACCACACACTAAAACAGTCTGGGAGGCTCAGCAGCCTGATATGATACACATCAATCTGCCTACACATTCCAACATCCCTCACCAGGCTTAGAACTACCAGACTGCTAAAATGGTGAGACAAAGAAACACTACCAAATGGAAGAAAAGGAAGAGTCACCAGAAAAGGAACTATAGAAAATGGAAAACAGCAATTTGTCAGATAAAGAATTCAAAGCAATAATTTTAAGGGTGCTCAAACAATTTAGTGAGAACTACAAACAACTTAATAAGATTTATGAAGAGCTCAGGGGGAATGACATTAGCTTAAAAAAGGGGTAGAAGCTATTAGTACAACTCAAAAGAAAATAAAGAATGACATAGCTGTTATGGAAAATACCTTAGAAGGATTCAATAGTAGATTAGAAGACGCTGAAGACTGAATCAGTGAGTTAGAAGACAAGGTAGGAAAAAAAACAAACCCAAATAGAGCAACAAATGGAAAAAAAAATTAAAAAGCAGGAGGAGAATTTAAGAGAGCTTTGGGATAATACAAAACATAACAACATTTGCATCATAGAGGTACCTAAGGAGAAGACTCAGAGAGAGAAATTGAGAACTTGTTTGAAGAAATAATGATGGAAAACTTCCCTAAACTGGTGAAGGAAAAAGTCACACAAGTCCAGGAAACACAGAGAGTCCCAAGCAAGATGAACTCAAAAAGACCCATAGCTAGACACATCATAATTCAAATGGCAAACATTAAAGACAAAGAAAGAATCATAAAGGAAGTAAGGGAGAGACAGAAAGGTACCTACAAGGGAGCTCCCATTAGACTGACAGCTGATTTTTCAATAGAAACACTGCAGGCCAGAAGAGAGTAGCATAAATATACAAGGTAATGCAAAGCAAGGGTCTGAATCCAAGACTACTCTATCCAGTAATGCTATCATTCAAAATTGAAGGAGAAATAAAGAGCCTCACAAACAAACAAACAAAACAGGTTAAAGGAATTTACCACCACCAAACCAGCACAGCAAGAAATGCTAAAAGGACTATTGTAAGAAGAAAAAGAAATAGAGAGAGAGAGGAACACAGACATAAAATAAAAATGGCAACTAGTAAGTATCTATCCTTAAATGTAAATGGCTTAAATGCTCCAATCAAAAGACATAGGGTAGCTGATTGAATAAGAAAACACGACTCATATATATGCTGTCTACAGTAGATGCACCTCACAACAAAAGACTCACACAGAATGAAAGTGAAGGGATGGAAAAAATTTTCCAAGCAAATGGAAATGAAACAAAAAATGCTTATGTAGCAATATTCATATCTGATAACATAGACTTCAAAATGAGGGCTACAAAAAGAG